TCGCAGAGAGGAGAAGCGAGCAGGAGCTGCTATCGAGTCGCAAAGGAGGAGCGAGATCGAAAGGAGCAGGCGTCGAGCAGGGATCTTCGGCGCAGCAAGGAGTCAAGCGAGGGTTTTTTGTCGAACGGGGGAGACAAGCAGGAACTTCGTTTGGGAGAGCTGAGCGGAAGCAAGCAGGCGAGAGGAGCTCGGGAGAGGCGAATCGAGCAGACTGCGGAGGAAGAAGGCGGGCCTTCCTTTTAGAATTGGAGCGGGGTGAATTAATCATGAGTCGTTACTCTCGAAGCAATTGACGGTGAAATAAATAATTTCCATACATCTGAATATTTTTAATTAAGTCAAATTCAAATAATTTGTTTGAATTTTAAAATTTGAATTTCAAATTCAGGTGAGTTGGTGCCTAGCCCGTGTTCAGCCCGAGTCCAACCTGAATCAAACCCGAGTAGAACCTGAGTTGAGTTCGGGCCTGCGCACCGCTAATTAAAAAAAATGTAGAACCTGAGTTAAGTTCGGGCCTGCGCACCGCTAATTAAAAAAAATGTGCATCAAATTTTGGTGTCATTTGTGCTCGCGCGTAATCAAACCAATATGTGTGTCCTTCCAGGCTAAAATTGACGTTCTGGACTCATCGGTACGGTTCATTTCGTCATTCAGGGTCGTCCAGACAAGTTCGCCGGTGGACAAGTCAATTCAAGTCAAAGTCGTGTGGGGTGAGATGCGTGCGCAAAATGCGGCGTTGGCGAGTGCTCGGGTCACAAATGGTTTATCTAGGGGCTGCTCCTATTAATATATGAACTCAACTTGAGTTACATGTGTCGATCCTAATCAACTTAGCGAAATGCCGAGGATTCGAGACCGCCCATGCGAGACTCGCAAGAGTGACGAGATGGCTCGAAATTTCTAAAGGGTGTGGGTCCGGTACTAATCCTCTAGGAGGGTCAAACAAGAAAGCCTAAAGCTAGATCTTATGCTCTAAGGAGAGAAGTGAAAACCTCATTCGAAAATGAGGTCAACACGCCTCCTCTCTCATAATGTAAAAACTCTCTCATCAAAATCAAGCATCAAAGGTGCATCCAAGATTCATCGAAGTCGATCTATAATAGTTCTCTCTTTGTTTGTTGAAATAAATCGAGGTTCGCCTACATTCATCAAAACCGAACATTGTAGTTTTCTTTTATTCATTGAAGCCGAAGCTTCACAAGCTAAAACAGAAACAATTAGCTTCTTTAAGTAAGAGTCAATTATGTTCGTTGAAGGCGATTCAAATATCACATTAACTCTACGACTCATGCACTGAGGCTCCTATTCATCGAAGCCAAGTCGTATTAAAGCCTCCCTAGTATTGTAAGTGAAAATTTATAATTTTTTTACTTTTTAATAAGTTAATAGTTATTAAAGCTATTGAATACTCATGATAATTTATATTTTTTTTAATAATTTATAACTAACAAAGCTAGTGAAAATTCATACACCTAAACTATCATAATTCAATGAAAAGAGAGATAACATGCATGTTAATTAAACAATATAAAAATATAATGGTGTTTTTAACAGTTTGCACTATATAACATGATCATTCAAGGTGATTTAAACATTCACTATGTATTATACTATATCGTTTATATATCAGTATCCTTTTTAATCTGTATACAATCGTCATAGAAGTACCGTCTAAAAAATTGTACTACTTAAGGCACATCAATATCAATAAACTTTTTCATTTACGTGCACGGGTACATTTGGATTCCCTCGTTAGTACCATAAAGGGGTGTTCCATCATAACCAAGTATGCACGTGGAAATAATCAAAATAATAAATCTCATTCTTATCATATCATTCAATAATCTGAACTATGCATTTAAATAACATGCAATTATTTGTGGCATACACTTGACATGATCAAAATGAAATTAAGGAGTCAATAAGATCTATCTAATCAAGTCATAGAGCGAATCAAACCTAAGAAAGTTATTATAATTTAAAAGTATAAGTAGTCACCTAGCTTCTGATGATTTTTGTTTGTTTTTAAGTTATGAAATCTCTTTTACAATAGAATATCTATCACCAATCATAAAATATTATTTAATTAAATTATCATGACAACTTAATATCCTAAGTAGACATAAATTTATGATTTGATTAAGTATAATTTATCTTATTATCGATTTTGACAGTTATGTACTTAAAAGTAAAGTAGCTCTTAATTAAAGTTGTGCCTTGATCAATTCCTCAAATCTATCGCTTCGTCTCTCCCTCAGGCACAAAAACAAACACAAAGTCCTTATTAGTCCTCCCAAACTAAATTAACATAATGTCATATTAACATTACCTTAGTATTAAATATTTAATCAACATAAATTAGATGCATAATTAAAATTTACCTCAATTTTTTTATTGCAAAGTGAACAATTCCTCTTGATCTTCTTTAACCATTCATTTATTGTTCTCAATTCTTCCTGTATGTTTTTACAGTTTTGATTAACAAAACAAAATCATATTAATCCTATATATAATATTCATTTAATATAATTAAAATCGAAAAAAGGTCGGTCTGCTTCTGCTACGTACACTAACGTTTCCCCTCTTCTTTCTATGCTCGATGCTTTTCTTCTTCTATCTGATTCTATTAACCTACACACACAGCAGCTCCCTATTAATTCCTCAACACACGAGATCATGAACAAAGCTCGGTTTTGACTTCCCCACATCGTCTCCCTTGCTGCTCGATGACGACATGTCCCTCTATCTCGCATGCTCGGCTTTCCTCCTCTTTCGCACCTCTACCTATTTTTTTGACTTCTCGAACCCGCAAAATAGGGCTGAAAATGACCCCGCCTTTCTCCTTTGTCCTTCTATTCCTTAGGTCGTGGGCACAACGTCGTCATCTTTTCGACTAGAGTTCAAACCAGCCCACACTGAGGCACAAGATGCTTCTCCTATGGCTTCAACGCTTTACCTTGCAAGCTGACGAAACCTCAATGTCATCTCTGACATCAACAAACTTCTTCTCCTTCTTTCATCTACGCTTCGAAGTCGATTGCTACCCTCTGATATATGGTACCGCCTCTAATGTTATACAGTAAGGCTTCTTCCTTTTCGTCTTTTCCCTTGCCTTCTCTTTTTCGTTTTCTTCTGCCTTCTTTCTCTGATTTCTGCTCTCTCTGAAGAGAGATAACTACATTCGGACACTTGACGTAAATTTGTGTCCGGAGTCTAGTGAAAACTTGTCACGTGTCAAGTGAGCTTCACTGTAATGCACTGGTTAGGGGTGATTTTTTAAAAGAGGTGGAACCCACATGCCACGTGGTAAATTTTCATTGGACTCTGGACGTAAATTTGCATCCGGAGTCCGGATACAATAATTTTTCCTCTTTGAAAGGTACATGCCAATCTTAAAGACAAAACAAAGAGGTGCACGAAATGAAGTGATGCTTATCCATATGTCTATTTATTTATTAATTTTATTATCATTTTTTTACTGGTTATTACAAGGAGTTCCAGCATAGCAAAAAAAAGGTTTGGTGGCTAGGGTAAAGTTCTATTGCTCCGATACTATGTAGAAATTACTTGGGAAGAATCTCTTGATTTCTTTCTTCACATGTAAAGTACATATAAATAAGGAATCCAATCCTTCCTCATTTACAAACTTACCAAATATGTCTAACTTAAACTAGAAAGGAAATAATTCTGAAATAAAAAATAAAAACACACAAATAAGAAAGAAATAAACAAAAATCAAGATGTTTCCAAATTGTCCTCCAATCAAATCTCCCATAAGATCTTGGATGGCCGGCCGGTCCATACATGGCAAAACCACCTAAAACTTCTCAAGTTTCCACACAACATATAAATTATCTATGGACCATAGAACACCATAGTATATTCACTTGGCAGTCTTCAAAAGTTCAAGTAAATGGAAAAAGGTGCCCAATGATATTAATGAACATGTTGAAGTAAGCACTTCTATAGGTAATTAGAAACAATAGAAATATTGTGAGAAAAATAAATGCAAATCAATCAAATGACTTAACTTTGACCATTTATGTCGCACAAAAGAAAAAAATGACAGATACCAAATTTAAACAATCTATATTAAGCTATAGTCATTCTCAAAGCATTTCATATCTATTATATCAAATTTTGCAAAATTTACCAATAGAGATTCATTGCATATTACATTAGTGGTAAGACAAAAGGAGAATACTTACTCAATTACAAGTTGTCGTATTACTCCGGGGAGCACTTCATCACTTACTGGTGCTGTTTGCACGACAAAAGATGATGTTTTTTTGAGATTATATGTAGAATCATTTGCCTTGTCGCAGTCCACCTGCACTTATTAAACATTTAATTTTGAAACAAGTTTTTGCCATTACATTTTGATGTTTGTGGCATAAACCTTGATGAGTTAAAACAAGATTAAACATCAAAGATATCCAGAATTTACCATCCAGATCTTGTAATTAAATGTGCCACGTGATCAATTTGAAAAGTAAGGAAAACGCATCGTTTAAAATATCAACCAGCAAGCAATTTGATATGGTTTATATTATAATGGGCAATGTATATGAAATAACTAAGAGAATGTATGCCCAAATATCATGAAGATTCAACAGCAAGAACTCACAGGATTTAATATGGGTGCACTCATGCTAATCCAAATAGTTATGTACTTAACCCAGCCTACTAGCCAAGCAAGTGGTGACTCGCAAAGCTCATGGTGACTCGTCCAGCTTAAGATCAACTTCTCGAGTCAAACAAGTTCAAACATAACAGGCCAACCTCAAAACCTCCTCATCGGAGTAGAATGATGACTTCCCATCAAGTTGACTACAACTCTGAGTACACAATCAGGCTATATATCTACTGTATTTTACAGTGAATAACTGATAGATCTTGATCGGTATTTTTCTTATTCATGTGACTTAAACTCAAAAATACAAAAAAGAAGTCGTGAGAAAGCTATGGGGTTATGTAATATAGCATAAATTTTCGTACTTAACCTTTCTAAAGAGAAATTCCTTCTTACTTTAGATTAACTCTTTTCCACTCCTTCTATGCTAAGAAATTTCAATATAATTCCGGAATAATTTAAAATTCAAAAAATACTGATATATAACCATCTATCCCACAAAATAAAAAACAAACAGGAATCTTACACAAAAACGCAAACACAATGCTTTAATTTTAAAAAATAAATAAATAAATAAAAACTTGCACTAATCATTACCTTTTTAAGAGTTCATGTAATCATTCCAGAAAAGCTATCTCAAGCCTTGAGCCTCAACAATGTGTATGATAAATTCGGGGCTAGCTTTCCCTGAGATGGATTAAGCTTTGTTTTCATTGGATTTGTCTGATGTTTAGAACAAGATTTATTTGGGCCTGTAATTGAGACTTTCTATGGGCGCAATACCCCGTAGCTAATTACTCCTCCAAATTTTAGAACCCGTTGAATAAAATTGCTTAAGATGAATTTTAAATTTACACTTAGTAGATTAATAAAAAATTAATTGTGTGGAGAATGGTCAAAGGGGGTGAAAAATATGACTTGACCAAAAGAACCCATGATTTCTACATCTTGGGTATACCAACAGATCTAGTCTTCTATTATCCTAAAGCTTTGAGCCATAACATCGAAGAAGTCTAATAAGCAACCATGGTTAATTCTTCTCAAGTATCCTAACCAAATTAAGGTAAAGCTAACTCAAACAAGTGCTTTTGAAGTTGACATTAACTCATTTAGTACCAGAGGGCTGGTCATACTAGTTTTGCTGAAATATTTCAATAACATGCAGCATGGTCATTTGTGATTTAGAGGCATTAGAAAAGACCAACAAGAACTTACAAACATGGAATGACCGTCACTTAACCACGAGTTTCGACTACACTAGAAGAAGCATATCTGCCTCACCTTGGGTTGGCAGGCTTATTGGCTTTGTATTGACCTCATTAATTGGGTTATGTTATGGCTAATTTTTCCCCCATAAGGCATAAATGTGTGACTTACAACCTCGAGAGTAACAAAAGCCCAAAAAAGAGAGTTGATTTCCCTTATCATTTTTAGCTTTGATAGGATTATTGGGCTTTACAACTTTCTTTAGATAGATGATGAATGAATCTAAACTTATAACCCTAACTTCACAACAAGTTCAACATAGGTCCGATAGTTTTGAACTTGGAGGATGATCTTACGTTCATGTCTTATATACAATGAGTTCTTTCAATCTCACCTTATAAATAAGGCGACCCACAACAAGTCTTACAATCTCGTCCTATAAGAAAATAAATCTATTTAAATACATTGGTTTCATTTTGATTTCAATGCAACACATGTTGTAACCTACATATTAAGGCGATGTGATGCATATTTTATCACGCATATTAACCCAACATAATGCATATATCTATTCTTACTTACTATTTATTTTGTAAGATAAAAAAGAGTACTTTTTTCCCACAAAAAAGCACAAACCTAGTTTAGTGACTAGTTTATGAACACTGCAAGGACAAGCTAAAACTTCTTCAAGATTGCCTAAGATGTTCAAATGCAACATTTTCCCTGTATACTCACACATTCGATCCCTTATGGTTGTTTCTAAATAGAACCCTAGTTATATCTCCTCTGAAAATAATCAAGCATATGATCAAACTATCTCTAGAAACTCACCTTGCAAACAACAAAAAAATTGGTAACACTTCCTTCAAGTATTCTATCTCCATCATTAGACAGCAGGAGCTCCGTCACCATAGGAGGCCTCATTCTCTCCATATCCTTTCTGATCCTAGAGAATAATAAGAAGTCCAAAGTCCATCTCACCTTCCTGCAGCGGATCAACTACAAACCTGCTCAGTGAAACCACTCACCGCGCCCACAGCGAATACTTCGCCTCCGCGACGTCTCTCCCCCGGCCGGCAAGTGCCAGTCGAGCACCCGCAGCGCCAAAGACCGGCGGAACATAAAACCCTATATGAAGATACACATCGAGCTTCGCCATACTACCGCTTCCTCCGCCACCACAGATCAGCGCGGTAACAGCTAGCTCCGTAACCTCATCCACTGCTTCAGTTCTACGGCTTCTGCAACCCCTCTCATCTAGCGCTAGCCCTAGACCCACCTGCAAAGACTCATCAACAAGTGGCCGGATGGCAGAAAGCTCAACCGGCGCTCCGAAAAGGTCAGGGCGGTGGTCGGCGAGGATGCGCGCGGAGTTGGAAAGGCGGCGGAGGTGGCGATCCCAAAAGAGGAGGAGGGAGGCGTTTCCGTGGGTTCGAGTGGTGGTGTAAGCCCCTGGAGCAGAGGAGAAGCAGCGTTGCTTGAATCACTTACAGTTTGATATGTATCTATTGAGAGAGAAAAAGAGGTGGAGAGTTTACCGGGGAGGGATTCGAGAAGGGTGGAGACCGGAGGAACGTCCCCGGCGTGAGAGACGCCATTGACGACGAGGAAGCGGGTGGCCGCGCTGAAACTTGTCGCCATGGAAGAAGATCTAGAGGGAGATGGAGAATTTTCAAGTGTAAAGAATAATATTAATTATAATGTTAATTAATTAAGTTCTTAAATTTTAATACCTAAAATATGATTAATATTGAATTTTAAGGTGAAATATATTTTTATATAAATGCATTTTATTGACATAGAAGCACTAAATATTATATAATTAAATATCAAAATTAAAATAATATATTTATAAATAACTTATTAAATGTTATATATTTATTATGACTATAATTTGTTCATTAATATGTTTAAATTTAACATCAATATGCACATAATTTTAATGCAATTTTGTTTATTTCAATAGTTCATTAATATGTTTAAATTTAACAGCACATAATTTTAATGCAATTTTGTTTATTTCAATAAACCTTTTTGTTAGTAGTTGTTTATGCTATTTGATTGCAATAAAGTTTTGTTTACTTAAAATTAACTAATTAGAGGCACATTTGAGATCTATTCAATTATTTTTTATTAGATTTATAAAATCATTTATTAATAATTTTATATGAAATTTAAGTAATCATTTGAATTTTAATTGTTTAATGATTTTATATGAAAAATTAAGCACAAATTTTATATGAAAAATTAAGTACTCGTTCAAATTTTGAGGATTTTAATTAAAATAAATAAATCGTATGAATATTAAATTTTTTATGCAAGCCAATGATGAACATATATATGAAAGCATGTCTAATGCTTTGAACAGAATCTTACATTTTTATCATGTTATCACGCAATTATTTCATTTCCTTTTTTCTCACTGTCTTCTCGATCCAGACTATTGTGATCTTACATTTCTATCTTCGCACTCCCTCATGCAGCCAAGTTCTATCAAACATTTCTATCTTCGCACTCTCTAAGTTCATTTCCTTAGAATCTTAATATTGTTATCTTCGCACTCTCGATTCAGACTATTGAGCTTCAAATATGCTTGGAAAGCTTCCAAAAATCAGAATCTTACAATTTTATCATGTTATCACGCAATTATTTCATTTCCTCTTTTCTCACTGTCTTCTCGATTCAGACTATCGTGATCTTACATTTCTATCTTCGCACTCTCTCATGCAGCCTTTCGTTTTGATTGACCTTGTGTATATATAGAATGACTAATGTCGAGGCAAGGATACACGACCTTTCCTCTCCCTCGCCTCTTTTGGTGGCCACTAAAACCGTTGATCTCCCTTCGCCCTCTCTCACTATATCGTCCTAAACTATAGACTCGGTGATTGAATCCTTGTGTTATGGTCGTGCTTAGAGCTAGTTGGGAAGGCAACGATGAAGGCAACGATGGGATTATAACGTACCTAGGCCACCAAAACTTTACCCAACTTCTCTAAATCCCATGGATCTGTCTTCTAAAGGGATTGACTATATTGGACTTAAAGGCAAAACGTAGGAAAAATGAGATTTAAGAACCTACATGTTTCAAAAGCGTAATTTTTGTCCTTTAATAGATACAGGAGTTATGTAAATCCTTCAAAATTTTATTCAATAATTTTAATTACTTACAACCAAAATAAAATAATAAATATGATTTTAATTCTGTTTATTGAAGTTAGTTTTAAATAGGCTCACACTTTTTTTCTTTTTAAAATATTATAATTGATGTGTGTTAGAAGATTCGTATTGGTCGAGTAATAAATTATCATCGTAGCATGATATAAGGATTTAACTCAAACTCATAAGAGATAAAACAATGAGTAGTGACATAACAAAGTTTTACATGAAAAATCTACAAAAGAAACAATCATTGGGCCCGCTCTTTCTAAATAGTTTCACTATGAAATGATGATTTCATTTGCAACCATTTGTTCCACTGGCGAGAAAGATTTGCAAGGTCTCCCGAGATACAACATCGATTCGCAGAAGAACTTGTCATAAGAAATGAAGAGTGATCAATGGTGATCGGCGACGACCAACTAGTGGTGGTTAACGGTGGCAAGGGTGAAGCTGAACTTCAGAGCTTCAAACTCTTCCTAAGGGCTCAAGGTCTCTTCCCTCTTTTCAAGAGAGGGGCAAGACTTTATTTATAGAGTTTCGAGTGCAATTAATGTAGAAATATGAACTACTTTAATCAGACGTGCCTGACAACTTTCTTTGATTATACAGTGTTTAATTGACATTTAAGCGACTTAACGATGTTAGAATTGAGTGATCCTGGGCTCATTGAATTTTTTTTATCGAGACGCCCGATTCGACAATAATCTTACTAGATTCGATATTTGTTTGAGCTTCAAATATGCTTGGAAAGCTTCCAAAAATTTTGTTTGATGACTTGATCTAAGTTTGATTTGACTGAGATTGGATCAGTTTTTGCATGCTTGGGTTTGTCTCGTTGAGTTGAACAGTTTGACTATAATTTTGCTGAAATTGAACTTTCGGATGACTATTAACAAAGTTTGATAATAGTTAATCGTCTCTATTTATTGCTCATATTGTATGCCTCGTTTCTCTTATTGTTTATATTTTAATAAATAGTTTCTATTAAGATAGGTGTCCCGGCCCGTCCGAAACCCGACCCCGCCCAAGACGAGAAAAAGTAACTTTTGTCCGTATAGAATCCTGCCTAAAAGCCTTAATGTCTCACTTTATACCGCCACCAATCCAAAACAAGAGGATTCTGTCAAGCTTGTGCATTGGAGTTCTCCGGAGACGAA